AAAATGCTGGCTCACACAACAATTGGGAAGTCCAAAGCTTCCCGGCCGGCAAGATTGAGTGGCTCTGGTACTGTCATGGGGACCTGGTTTCTCTGGCTGTGCTTTCTTGTCTGGTCTTGGCTCTTAGGTAGTTTTTTCTTCATCTTGGTCTTGAGCGGCCCCGGGTCAAAGCCCACTCAGGTGCAAATCCAGTAGAAAATGGGATTCCCTCCACAGATCTGACTAGTTCTAACGGTCCTTGGCCTCAACTCCCATTGGTTCCCACTGGGTCACATGCCCATCGCCGCACCCATCACTTCAGCCAAGGAGCAGAATGCCCTTTGTCCCCGCATCTTTGGGTTGTTCCCCAAAGAAATTCAGGTTGAGGTTTCTAGAAGGGGGAGGGTGTGATGGACAAACCTCCAACAGATGCCCACGGCCTCTCCTTGGTGGCTTGTTACGAGGATGGACTGAGAAGCGTTGGCGGGGGCACGGTGTGTGATGGGTTTTCCCATAAACGTGCAGGCCGCATTCTTTCCCCTCCCTGAAATCAGATGAAATCAGATGTCCGGGGTTCCAGGGCACGGGCCCCTGAGACCCCTCTGAGAATACCCTAGCTGGGGATCCTCCCAGACTCCAAGACTTAGCAACGTAGACACAGGATGCATGTGCGACTCATTGATTTCATTTCGCCTCCCCCCAGATAAAAATGAGATCATACTAATATGGCCTCCCGTGACTTTATTTTTTTCACTTAATTATGTCCGAGACAACTTTCAATAGCAGTTTATATAAATCTACCTCATTGTCTTAGTGGCTAAATACTCCAGCTGCTGGATGAACTATAGTTTATGTAACTGGTCCCTTCTTTACTGGACCTCATATTAGCAATAGCCAATATTGCTAGCTGTCCCCCAATATCCAGTCTCTCCTTCCCTAGTAACAGAATCCTCATGTCCTAGTTGGCGACATGACATTCAGAATGAAGACCACAGGTCGCAGCCTCCCTGCTTGTGTGATTTTCTGCCCAATGGGATGTACCCTTAAAGGAAAGGGACATGGCCTCCCCATCCCACTGTCTCTCTCCTCCCTGGCTGGGGTGTCGCTGTCAGAGTGAGATGGTTTGGCCCATGCAGATGAAGACAATACTGCGAGGACAGAAGCCGCTACCAGCCCCGGACTCCTCACAGCTGGACAGCTCATGACAGCAGGCGGGTCTAACTCCAAAGACCACAGTCACCAATAACCAGCAGCGACTCCGGTGCAAAGAATCCGTCCTAGGACAGGCCGGTGCAAAGAATCCGTCCTCTGCTACGCTCCCCGACCTCAGACACTCAACTCCCGCTGTCTCTGCGTCGTCTCAACTGTTATTCACCTAAGAGCTTCTTTAAAGTGGGCTCACTTGAAAAGTAAAACTTAAATTTATTAAAAAGAAAATTTAACAAACCAGTATTGATGGCTGTATCTAGCAGGGGGCGATAAAAACCAACCCCATAAAACTAGACAATGTTATTAAATCTAAAATTAAAAACTAAAAAGCGAAATACAGGTACCTGGAAAACAGTTCCCAAAGAGAAGCATGGGCCTTTGACGTTTGTGCAATGAGGACCTACGGTCATTGCTAGTACTCATAATCTTTAACTTTATGCCTGAAAAATATCATTTTAATCACTTGTCTCTGTTTCAATGGGTGAAAAAAAAAACGGAAACACAAACCAAAAGAAAACAGTGACTCCAGAAAATGCCAATGATAGCGGAGGGCTTGGGTTCCAGCCGCACCAGAACTTGGGGGGAAGAAGTGTCCATCCCGCATCTCTGGCAGCCAGAGGTCACGACTGTCCCCAGCAAATCACACCACAGCACCCCTCTTAAGGGGCCTTGGGGATCACTTATTGACTTTGACTTTCATTTTTTTACTTTTTGTTGTCAATTCACATTTTTTTGCTAATATTCATATAAGCAGGCATTCATAAAACAGCAAAAAAAAAAAAAATTTCCCTAAACCAATCACGGTATTTGTTTTACCTCAGTTACTTTTTAGAAACCTATCAGGAGCCCTAGCATTTGTCCAATAGCAGCATTAAAAATATTAATATCTACCATATGGCAGGGCATAGTGGCTCACACCAGTAATCCCAGAACTTTGGGAGGCCAAGGCAGGAGATCACTTAAGCCCAGGAGTTTGAGATCGGCCTGGGCAACATAGCGAGACCCCATGTCTAAAAAAATTTAAAAATTAGCCGGGTGTGGTGGTCCACACCTGTAGTCCAAACTACTCGGGAGGCTGAGGCAGAAGGATCACTTGAACCCAGGAGTTTAAGGTTGCTGTGAGCTAGGCTGACGCCACGGCACTCACTCTAGCCCGGGGAAAAGTGAGACTCTTGTCTCAAAAAAAAAAAAAAAATGTAAAGGTTTTAAAACATGCGGGTGCCCAGTTAGACTGCCTGGACTTTGTAAAGCCCCCAGGTGGTTCTAACAGGCAGCCGGGCCTGAGCAAGGCCTTCGTGCCCTGCCCCCGGCCTTCTTTGGCAGTCACCTTTCATTGCCCCTTTGCCGACTCTGTTCCCACGTCCTGATCCTCTACGGCCTTTGCCCGACTGCTCTTTCCTGTGTCTGCTCAGATGCCGCCTTCTAAGAAGGAAGTATTTTATTCCAATGCTCAGGGTCGTCTCAGTGCGTTCTGAGCACAGGAGTGACCAGGGATTGCCTGTGTGCCCACGGTCACCTTCAGGGAACACTGAAGCCACTCCCTACCCTGTCTCTCACTTCTCTGTGGAGATGGGGGGGTCCCAGTTAGAGGGGTGCTTCCCATGGAACATGGCGCCAAAGCCTTAAAGCAGGACCGAGTGCAACACGTTTGGGAACCGACCTCAATGCCCTGCACACACCACGGACCTCCCAGAGGAGCAATTTCTAGAGTGGGCCCTGCACCCCTGGGCTCTGCACGGGAGATGGCTCGATAAGGCAGAGTCACAGACGCAGAGCTTTCCCTCTGCAGCACATCTGACCACACAGGCAGGAAGTCTGCGCGGCGACAGGATGCCTTTAGCCTCTCTTGAACACTTCTACTCTCCCCCTTTGACAAGCTGTCTTTTCCCAGAATTGAATATATGTTTTTTTTTTGGTTTTGTGAGTTTCTTTTATAGCTCTTTTATGGCAAATGACATTGACAGTATGAGGCAATGACATCGACTTACCTTTGTAAAGAAATTAAATCAAGGCCGGGCGCGGTGGCTCACGCCTGTAATCCTAGCTCTCTGGGAGGCCGAGGAGGGCGGATTGTTTGAGCGCAGGAGTTCGAGACCAGCCTGAGCAAGAGCAAGACCCCGTCTCTACTAAAATTAGAAAGAAATAAATTGGACAACTAAAAATATATAGAAAAAATTAGCCTGGCATGGTGGCGCATGCCTGTAGTCCCAGCTACTCGGGAGGCTGAGGCAGGAGGATCGCTTGAGCCCAGGAGTCTGAGGTTGCTGTGAGCTAGGCTGACGCCACGGCACTCACTCTAGCCCGGGCAAAAAGAAAAAAAAAAAGAAATTAAATCAAGAAATTGACTTTAACAAACTATGAAACTGAGTAAGACCCAGGTGGTTTAGGGAAATGGCAATATCCGAACAGCCAGGACAGGGGGTATCCTCGTCTCCCTGGGCTTGGGCAGGGCCCTGGGGACGTCACGCTCTGGCCCCTTCACCAGAGCTCAGTGACTCAGTGACTTCCTGCCCCCCCCATCATTTGTCACAGTCACAGCAGCTCTGGATGAAGCTCTTCAGCTGTTTCTTAAAGGGGTTCGTGGGTCTTGACTGCACCCTGCCATGGGGTGGCTCATCTTTCTGAGGCATTACAGACTTTTTGAAGAAAAGCAATTTAAGTATTTAAAACAATAATTTTAGATGAAAAGCTATGACAGAGCAGAATGCAAATCTGTATGCAGTTTTAACCTAAAATTCCAGCTTAAAACTCCACCCTTCAACCCCAAAGGGACCCACATCCTCCATCCTCTACTTAAACTTTGGGATTATAATTTGAGAAACCCTCGGCAGTTTCAAAGGCACTGTGGTTTTGTTTCTAGGGCCCGGCTGGATGCCCTGAAATTGAAGTGAGAAAATGTGTACAGCGTACTTGACAGGCAGAGAGAACCCTGAACGCACCCCCATTCCTGTTACTCTCCCCAACCCCGGCCCTTGCAAATGCTTCCTCAGGGAAAGTTCCACCAGGGCCAAAGGCTGCTGGTCTCTGCAAGGGGCTCTCAAATTACATCTGGGCTCCAGTTCTGGGTCTTGTTCAGAGACCCCACTTCTCGTATCTGAAACCAAAGGAACTTTGGAGAAGAGGGAAAACCCAGTGAAGCCCCAAGGCACAGAAACGATGCCTTTGCCAAATGTTTATGCCAGCTCCCCAGTGCCACCTGCATCGGCCGCCCCTCAGTCCTGATGCAAACACACCCCCTCCCTCTTGATCCCTATATTTACACTATCTAACCTGAATTTGACCTGTCAACCTTGACACATCCCTGGTTCATCCACCTGCACAACCTAACAGTGACACTACCAGTCTGTGTCCTCAAATATCAACAGGTCACAGCTATTATTCCTTCCAGCTATTTATTCAGCAACTACTCTATGTGTGACAAGGACGATTACAAGGATGAGTAGGAGCTTGCTAGGCACATACTGGCCTAGCACAGTGGCCCGGACAGTGATGACAGATGGGATCCCATTTCTGCAGCAAGCAAGAGGTGCCTACTCTTGATGGGAGAGCGAAGTGCAGCGTAAGCTGTCCTCGGGTCACTGAGGGTGAGGAGGGTCCCAGCAGGCCCACTGCGGGAGGGGAGCAGAGCTGGGAGGTGTATCTGAAAATGCCTCGAGTGACCGTTAGAAGGTTTACAGCGGTTCTCCTAGGCTGTGAGTGACTTGAGGTTAAGCCAGGGCCATAGCACGGTCAGCTGCAGGTCTGGGTTACAGGTGCTTAGAGAATAGAGCTGTGTTAGTGAAGGACTAGGCAAAAATCAAAACCACTTTAACAATTTTTAAATCAAACACTTTATTTCCACATAACAAGCGCAAAAAAATCCCAAACACTTTAACAATACAATTAACGCAGTTATGAAGTCAATTATATACTACTCAAAGCCCCAAAAGGTCAATCAGCTTAACGTTCCAAACATTTCCAGACGTGGTTTTTCAAAGCTACCTTTGGTTTTTGGAAAAACCAGTATGGAAGTCAATATACACTGAACGCATTGAACAACATTTGCTTATATTAAGGTGTTCAACAACATTAGCTTACACCTGGCAAGTTGGAGCATGATTTGAAGTCATACACTGAAGTACATACACAGGTTCTGCCCCGGCTCCTGCAGCGAGGAGCGAGGGCTGTGAGGGGGAAGAAAAGGCCAGTCCAGGCTGCGGCATTTCTCGTTTTGTAACAGAGGTATGAGAGTTTAACACTAGTACACTGTCAAGTCATTAAGCTTCATGTTCCAAATGGTCTCTTGCTGAGGCTTGAGATGGGCACAAATGGTGGGGAAGATGAAGTCACAGAAGAGTTTTGAGCAACAAGATCCCAAAGATGCTCAAAGAGGGTAGGAAGGAGCAAGCTACAGTTTCCCATTGTTCTCACATTATTTCAGGGTGAAATTGTGGAGAAGTTCAGATAAAATGTTCAAATATTTGCTTAGATTTTTAATTGGTTGCTCTATGAGAACCCTCATACATAGCAACTTTGAAACTTTCATTATAAAAAAGAGCCTACAAATAAATTCACAAAAAAGAGACAATTAATGTTGAGCAGCCAAAAAGTCATGGTTTATTATATCTGAAGAAATTTCATAATTCAAACACAACCAAACTGTACATTTTACAATCACATTCTATTTGTAAACAGTTAAAAGCCACTGACTTCTTTTGCATCTTAGGACACAAACAGTTAGAATCAAGGCAATGAAATGATGGCAAATTCTGTACTGTTAAAATTTTTACCCTTGTTTAGTCTCTCTTCTTTGACTAAGCAAGCATTATAATACCATTTGTGGGCAAAAAAGGGGGGAGGAAAGAAATTTAAAAATGGTGTAACTCGTTAGTTTGCAACAACATTTAAAATTTTCTTTATACAACAAACAACTCTGTAAGCCCAATACCTTGGTTACAGTATGCATAGTTACTGATTTCGGCTTTAAGGTACAACAGTTAAACATTAACACAGTCACAAGAGAGCAGAAACATATAGAGCCACTTGATGGGATTACAAAAAATTATTACCTATTGATTATTAGCAAACCATCATCACTCACTAATAAAAAGACAGCATCTGAAAGCAGAATGTCAAACTCCAGCTTTAAGCGTTTTTTTGTTTTTTCTTTTTTTTTTTGGCAGAGAAAATTCTTTAACAGAGCAATACGTAGTATCAGTGCTAAAAGTTGGGGTTTTTCTTTTTTCCTATAAGAAACTACAAGGAGTTTTTTTTTTTACTGGGGAACTGGTTTTCCTGAGAACCATGCTCTTTGATTTAGGACAGGAATAGAAAAACAAAAGAACATGGCCAAATGCTGCTCCTTTTTTCCCAGAGATAGAAAGCATCTTTTAAATCATCCTCCTTTTTTTTGTCTTTTAAATTTTTTTTAAATGATGGAAGAGTAAACATTTTTTCTCAAAAAACAAACAAAAAAATCTGTAAACAAGAAGGTTCACTGTGGGAACCTTCAAAACAAAATGGAAAGCCTATTCAAAGTGCAGGGCCCGTCCTGGGTGGCAGGTGGGCTGCAAGTCACAGCTGTGGCCACAGTTTTTCAAACTGCAGAGCGAAATTCTTTAGTTTTACAACATGAAAAAACTGGTGCAATACTTTCATTAATAATCCTAAAGTCAGTATCATAACTTGATCTTTTAAACTCCACGATACCACAATAAGGTAGGCAACATCAAGGCATAGTAGAGAGCGCACACCTTTTAAGAACATCCTTGAGTAAACATTTACACTGGAACAGCTGCCCCCCCATATTGCCGATTAGACGGAGAGAACATCATTCAGTGCAAAGGTAAAAGCTCATACATTATCAGCCCAAAAAATGGTTTGCAAAAGAAAAGGGGGGGGAGGTATCAGGGAAAAAAAAGGAAGAAAAGAAAAGAAAAGGAAGAATCCAAAGGCTAAACATGATGAATATACACAAGTGAGCTCATTCTATACGGTTTAGCATGTATGGCGCTATTTGGGAGTGTAAATAGATAGATACCTTTTCACATTATAATATTGGCCTGCATGATTCAAGTATTCAAACTGATATGTTTTGGGGAAAACAAAGTGGAAAATGTGCAGAGAATAGCTGTTCCCACAGGTGGCCCCTGGCTGCAGGCGGCGAGCCCAACTTAGTGCTCCTTTCTTTCGCGTCTGAGGTCACAGTTTGTGAGTCTCCATCTACACTGTTACATGGACTCTCCACCCCCACCCAGGTGGTCAACAGAAAGAAAAGCATTAATGGGGGATGGGCTGCTAATTCCTCGGGGGTCGCTGCTGCTTGGAGGACCCCACAGGCTTGTGGAATAATGTGGGGTCCCCCAGAGTGAAGTGCCGTGAAGGTCTCCACAGTTAGTTCCCGACAGCCCAGCACCATTCCAGTGATTGAGATCGGTCCGGCTGGAGAATGAGTGGGAGCAGTCGAGGGAGCCCAGCCGGCTCTGGCTGGACCCAAGAGACTGCCAGCCAGGAGAAGGGGTCAGAGACTGACTTTGTGCAAAGAAACGACTGATCTCCTCTTCACTGGCAAACTCAGCAAGAATAGTAGTGTTCCCCAGTACACACCTAGAGGAGAGAGGCACAGCAGGCTTGTGAGCACTTGACATGTGAGAGGGGCTTCATGAACTCAAAAAAGTGAGGGTGAAACTTGTCTCTGCTAGAAAAGCTGGAGAGAGGGAGAGAACCCACCACGTAACGAGCGCGCCCGCAGCCCTCCCAGCGCCTGATGCCTCGCCCAGAGTGAGCCTGCCCTGGGAGCACCACTGTGGTGTGCCAAGATCATGTCTGTCTGTCTCCTACATGAGGGATTTTCCAGGGCCCTTTCGGTCAAGTCTGATTGTTCCCCAAGGAGTACCGATCTTGGAACCCAGGGTACAGTGAGGCTGCAGCTGTCAGGAGGCACCTCCCGCGGGACCCGTCGCTGCTCGGAGCCATGCTGTGCTTTCTCACACACTCCTTCCGCCACGCTCTCCCAATTAGGAGCTGAATGGCCAACTTACATGTGCAGAGACTTTTGTGCCTTCACTACCTCTTCTTTTGAACTGTAACGGACCAAAGCATTTCCATGTGGGAGGTTCAGGTGGAATGTTATCAGTGGGCCATGCTGCATGCACAGAGTACGCAGAGTTGAGCCATCGATCTAGGAGACAGGGTGGGGACCACAAATTAGATGTGTCATGATGAGGGCCCACCCAGGGAGGCTGTCCCAGGCTGCAGCTCTGGTCCTTCTCTCTTCCCCAAGGTTCTTTGCTCCTGGGTACCACTCTTCACTGGTACTTGCTGCTATGATGGGGTACAGTGCCCCCCTCCCCACCTCCACTGGTCCCAGAGCCATACCTCTGTGGCCTCTAGACTCCTGGACACTCCCCAGATCCCCAATTCCTTAGTTAGCCATTGCCCCTGCTGTGGCTTCATGTCTTCTCTCTTCCTGCCCTGAGGACAGGATCCACCAAGGCACTGCTCCCTGGGGGGAGGGGAGGGAGGTGGGCTCTTAACATCCAGCCTCCAGAGGAGGGAGTAGTCCAGGGGCTGAGAAATGTCCTAACCTTAAAGGGCAGACCTGGGTTCCTCAAAGTGCAGGACAAGGACTGCATCACATTCATCTGAAGGCCCTCACAAAAATGCAGATGCCCAGATCCTGGCCCAGACCTACCGAATCAGAATCTCAGGGGTGAGACCTGGGAGTCTGTATTTTTGTCTGCTCCCATGCACATCAGTGTGAGAGCCACGGGATCAGACCACAGCCTGCCTGAGGCAGCATCTCAAGGCCAGTCCTCTGCCATTTCCTCTGCATGGCCTTGACTATCACTTAGTAGCTCTTCTCTCAAACTCAGACCTGAAACCTTCGTTCCCATGCTCTTTGGCATATCCATATAAACCAGGATGTCTGGTATCCTTACCTGAGGTGTAAGGTTTTTTAGAACAAGCCAATTTGTTATTCTCCCTGAGCTGCTCTCACCCCAGCTGGAACCTAAATAAGGAAAAAAAAAGGACAAGTCAGTTTTCCAAGACTGCAGCCTGAAAGACTGTTTAGGACAAACATACCCCAAATTACAGTTACTCAGTAGATCACCTGGCCTCGTGGATTCCTTCTCATCCTTGCACTTTTACATGGGATACTTTCTCCCTAGGCCCAGAATTTGAGCTCACTACAGCCACGGCCAAGTGTTAACTCCTAGGGCAGGGAGCTCTGCCTCTGGGGACAGTGAGCTCAGAACTGCTCCCAGCTCACCACATGGTAGGGTAGCAAGGAAAAAAGGGCACATCCCTTTGGGATCTTTTCATTTACAAAGCTAAAATTATCTCCAAATGGCACCACGTGGGGAAGGCCTCATCTGAGGTTTGATGACCTACATGTTACACTCCTCAGGATGTGAAGCTTTAAGGGGATTTAAGAGCTTGTAATCATCTAGACGTCCCTGTGTGGGAGCCCCCCAACTGGCCCCCCTGCTCGGCCTCCATGGCATCCTCTTCCCCTAGGAGCAGAGCTTTTAATCACGATCCAGGCCCGCCCCATCTCCATCTCCAACTAAAGGTGCCTCACAAACACTTCAGCGTGGCTTGGACTGTTCCATGACATAGTTCATGCCTAATTCACTTCTCACTGAACCTTCCCCCAGCCCCTTCCTCTAATAACTCAAAACGGAACCTTTGTACTGTCTCAGGTCTCGGCCTTGGCACAGGCAATTTCCTCTGCTTTGCTTGGCTTCCTGATCCCACTCAACTCCACCAATCCTCCTTAGGGTGGGCTCCTTGGTCCTTTTATTAGCTCCCTTCACTGTGTGTCACCAGCCACTTAGCTGGCACCCACCCACTGGTGTGGCTTACAACACACCAATTACATTAATCTGCATTTAGTAGCTTAGAACGGACCCAGGTTATTTATTTCATGTAATTAAAACTTTCCCCTCAAAGGAAACGCTGCAAGTTTTTTGTAGCCAATTACCTCTCTAAAGATTGGAAACAATACATTAGATCAGAAAATACTAATGAACTTTTATTACTCATTTTCAGCTTGAAGATGAGAAAGTTTGGTACAGTTTCTGGGCAGAGCAGAGGGTCTTTAAGACCATACTTACTGGGAGAACCGCTGGACCACTCTGAGTACAAGTGGCCGTGTGTGTATGTCTATGGCCTGGGGGTGCAGGCAGGGACATAATGCCAATACACATCCAATGCCAGTCATTTAAAGAATGAGCAAAAGCAGGAGAACCAGTTTTCCTGGGACAGTCTGGTTTATGCCTTGTTGGCTCTATGATAGTTAATAGCACCCTCTTTCACTCCCAAATGTCCCTGTTTAAATAGTAAGTTGTATGGTCATCCCAAGTATAAGCCAAGCTCTCATCCAAACAGGTCCCCTTCTACGAGGCCCAGATGGGCTACTCCCACCTTCCCCAGCCTCGTCACGTAACGGCTTCTGCCCTGTGTGACACGGTGTTACTCTGCAAGCCTGCCATGAGCAGGAAGATACCACAGGGTTTAAGATGCACTCTTGGGGAACTTCTGAAAGAAAAGTGCTGCCCATTCATTAACTTTACCACTGACTGTTGTGTATCTTTGGGTAAATATTCTCAGGTAAAATGGGATGAGACTCTCAAAGACATGGAAATTGCAGAAGGTGGCAATGCACTAGTGATCGTATATTTATTTAAGTTCTCATTCCACCTTACAGAGGGTAACAATAGTTTACTGTTTAAGTCTCTGTTAAACTAGACTGTTGGTACTGGTTAGCATTTAGCAAATAAACCACATGAAACTAACTTATATATTTCATCTTACCTGGGGTATATCTGGCGTCAGAATTTCCCCATCCTCCACCTACACGAAGGGGAGAATTATCCCACGTAGACAAGGGTGGCTTCTGACCAGTCAGTCCCGGAGGTGGGCGGGACGGAGCAGTGATGTTTTTAGGTGGCAAAGGGACCTTCCACAGCTCATGAGCCAGAGAGGTGTTTGTAACTGAACCAGGAGACCATGTCAATTTGGAATCACTATTTCTGGCTACTCAAAGGGAGGGAAAAAAGTGGAGAGGGGTGGAATAATGTTTAAGAAAAGAGAAAATTCAAATAACACCCATTCTCCCACAAAAAAACAAATCAAAAAAAATGAAATTCTATTAAAAACTCCCAAACTAAACTGCCAAGACAGAAACTCAAAAAACCCAAAGGAAACTGCTCCCACTCCTCAAAACACTCAGACCATTTATCTGTTATTAATAGTTTTAAGACCTATGAGATTCTTTAGGCTAGTATATAAAACTGCACTTTAATTGACATCAAGACAGAAAATGGTTAGAATTGTTCAAAAATAGCAACTGTGAACTAAATAATCGTAACTGAGTCACTCGAGACATATAGGCCATTAAATAAATTTTAGAACTCTGCTGGTTACTCATGGAGAAATGGATTACAAAAGTAGCCCCCACTCGGGGAGTCGCCAGGACAGATACATTCACTGGGTGCCTGCCGCTCTGTGCCGAGCGCTGGGCTGCTCAAGCGCATCCCTAACCCTGACACACATTCTGCTGAGGGCAGAGAAGAAGAAAAAGAAAAAGAAAGCCAGCTCAATTCCTGATACACACTGCCTCATAGCCATGGGGGCACAAGGGGGTGTGCAGGGATCAGGCACACAATAAACTACATCAAAAATAATGCTAAAAAAGAGGAACAGAAAAGGATGGAAAATTTCCTATCTCCCATCACTGTTTATTCTCTTTTCTACCTGACTTACAAAGTGCATGTTCTCTAAGTCAGTGCTACTCAAAATGTGGTCGAAGACTGGCCACAACACAGTTTTATTACTAGCCTGCGACAGAATGAGTACAGAAATTCAGAGTGAACATTTGTAAACTTCGACATTGTCATAACTCTTAAGTGTATAACCATTTTTCTAATAATTCAAAATTCATGTTTACTGTATTATACAAAGGATTGGAAATTTAAAAAAAAAAAGATCCTTCACTGCAGATAGTTTGAGAACCACTTTGGCTTAAATTACATTTAATTACAGAGCCGAGGTAGCTCTCAGATGAGTGAGAGCTGTTTAGTGAAAATTAATTATTTTAGTAAATGACTGCTGGGTACAATAAATTTTAGAGGAATAAATGATGTTAAAAATATTTCCCTAGGCTCACGAATACAGTCTCCTGACTCCCTGAAGATTCTGGATAAAAAGAAGAGGGCATTAAAAACAGCTGCCACAGCCCCACGCTGTGCCGACACCCTCCTCTTCCGAGCCGGCCCTGGTGTGCACAGGACGAGGCCCACCTGAAGTGCTTTGTGCTGTACTGCTGAGGGGAACGTTGTAGTTGGAGGCACGAATGGATGACCAGGCACTAGTTGAAGGCAGCGTGGTGTTCAAGGATGAGGATGACCCTACATGGGGGAAGAGTCCAATGAGTCAGCCACCAGGGCAAGAGACATGGAGTTTAAGAACAGACAAAACCGTTCAGAGAAATTGAAGCGTAACTGCATGCCACGAGAAAGAAAACAGGTATACTTGGGATAACAGATGGTGCCTGAGACTGTATCTTCCTTCTTGCCTTCAAGAGTATGCTGAGAGTTTGCTAGTTGTTTTTACCTTGGCTTAGCAAAGGTATTTTCCTTTCTACCCCATTTTCTCAAAACTGTAGGGAGGATACGCTCTAACAGTAGGGTACAGCAACAAAGACAACGCCCAGCTCTACTTCCCACGACTGGGCTCTAAAAGGAGGTTCAAGTCTTGCTGCTCCTAACTCCCGTCTCTGAACTTTTACAGGCTAGCCAGTGCCCAAGGTACCCTGTCACTGGCAATAAGCCAGGCCTTTAGCCTTCTCCATCATACCGCACACTCAAGATTCCAAAACCTAGTGTTTCTTCCCATTTTTAAAAACCCTCTTGATCAGCTACTCTAAATGAGCCCTAGACCTGACCACCATCTGGATCACTATGCCAGATCCCCAACTGGTCTCCCAATCCCATCTGCTCCCCACTGTCACATCACCCCACCATAAAGAATGAGTCTTCTCAAAACATTCAATAGTGTATTTCCTTTGATACCAAATCTAAACTCCTCTCCTGACTTTCAGAACCTTTCTGTAGGCCATCAGATCCTTCTATTTATTAACTGCCATGCTGTGAAGTTTTATGCTTGGCCTTTTATTCTCCTGTGAAGTACTAGCTTTAACTACTTCTATATGGTTATCTGCTAAATTCAGCCCTTTTAGAATGATGAGGATTCTTTTCTTACCACTGTGATAGAGCAAAAACTTGTTACCTTAGAAAATTATATATTAAACTGAGAGGATACATTTTACAGAAACAAAACACTTCTCAATGTTTCAAAAATTCCTCTCATTTACCTTTCTTCTAGAAAATCATGGATGGAATACATGTAAATGCCTAGAGGTGAAAAGTAACCATGGTGATAGGTAATAGGATGGTTTTATTTGATAACCCATCTGGACTGCAGGGATCCATAAATTGGTCTTATTTTTACTCTCTGAGAGAAAAAGGGGATAATTTGCTCCACCAAAGTCCTTCAATATTCAGAGTGTAAAAAAATATAATATTATGGTCACATCCTTTATGAGAAACACCCATATTTAAATAACCATAATCTCATAACTCGGTATAAAGTAGATAGCAATCTTCAGTATGTTTGTTCATTAAGTTGTTAATACAATTACTGGAAAGCAAATATTCATTGGTCCTTTGTGTTAACTTATTAAATTAATATATGCGTTTACTATATCAAGTGATAACATATCCTCATCATTTTTAAAGTGGGCAAATTAAAGAGTCACTTATGGGAACACTGAGAATTATCTTCACTTTCATGAGTCCATTGGTTGTCAGGTGCTGTGAGGTGCTGGAGTGACTTTGGCCGCTGAGAGCTTCATACCCACTTTGTGCCATTCTTAAACTTGGTTGTTGAGCATCACTCAAAAATTAACTTAAGCCCCACTTACGTACCACTGTTCCTGTCCCTGAGGTGGTCAACTTCCCGCACAGTATTAATTGAAAGATTGTTTATGACACTGCCAGGAGTGACGTAAGGGTCAGTTTCGGGGTCAATGTTTGGATAACCTTTCCATGGTTCACCAGGGCGAAATTCTGGAAATGGAAGTTCAAAATTAGTTCAATGTTTCATCATCATTTAAAATCCACTATTAAATATCATTTATTCCTAAATTTTATGCAACTCTCAAATATTCTCCAATTTTACTACTAATAACCTTAAGAGGCTGGTTCAGTAATACAATTTGTACAACATAAGCTGTTCTTTACGAATGACTTGCAAGTTAACAACTGAAATCATTTCTCTAGATTTATACATTTTTAAACAGTAACACTTGAAAGTGCTTTATGACAAATTACAAAGTCAATGCAACTCAAGTAGGACAAAGTACACCACAGATGCATTTTTCGTGATTCCTCACTGCAAATGAAACTACCGTCAAGTCAATCCCCTGACACAACTGGAGAGAAACAATGAATTAAGGTCTTTTGTACAGTTCTTTATGCTGGTTAATGGGACTCATTCCACCTTTGCTGCCTGGAGCACTAGGAACAGGCAGGCACACTCATTTGTCCAAGACTTTATACTTATAAACTTTTTCTTCATCATTTCTGCATTCCTTCTTATCAGCACTGATCAGTCCAATCACACAGAATTGGGCTAAATTATTAGTAAGTCCAGATGCAACAAAACCTTAACAGAAACACAGTCTCAGGAAAGAAGGTATTAGCATTTTACCTGGTGGCCAATTAACACTGCTAGAGCCATTAGGCGATTTGGCACGTGGCCAGCCATCTCCTATTGAACCTGGAGGACTGGCTGGTGAAGTACTGCTGTTCATAAAGTCATAGGGAACAAATGGAGACTCTTCCAGCCTGAAACCACTTGAAATAGCACCTAAAAAGAAAAAAATGATAGTGAAATGTGAACAAAATATGGTATCAAATTTACTTCTTATAGTTTCTCAAATATAATAAGAAAACTTTCCATTAGATCTATGGGCTCCAGGCCGGACACGGGGGCTCACGCCTGTAATCCTAGCACACTGGGAAGCCGAGGCGGGAGGACTGCTTGAGCTCAGGAGCTCAAAACCAGCCTGAGTAAGAGCCAAACCCCATCTCTACTAAAAATAGAAAGAAATGAGCCAAACAACTAAAAATAGAAAAAATTAGCCAGGCATGGTGGCGCGTGCCTGTAGTCCTGGCTACTTGGGAGGCTGAGGCAGGAGGATCGCTTGAGCCCAGGAGTTCGAGGTTGCTATGAGCTAGGCTAACGCCATGGCACTCTGGCCCAGGCAAGAGAGTGAGACTCTGTCTCAAAAAATAACAAATAAAAAATAGATCTATGGGCTCCAAAAAGTGTTCTGCAGATTATGTGAAGGTGCAAGGAAAACAGAGCTCTGTGCTCTCTTACAGACTTCAGTTGCTTTTAACTCTTATACAGTAAGATTCTAACATATCATTTGAAGAATATCTGCAAAGGATCATATTGGATGTCATTTCAAGAAGGCTATGAGGATCATAACTATCAATAAGTGACGAGAATGAGTACACAATTATTTCCAAATCATTAAAACACTTGTATTTTTGGCCTAAACTGAGAACAAGTACAGCGAACTTTTTGTTGGGGAGATTCACGGTTTGGGAATGAATGAGGAATACAAGGGAGGAACAAGAATTGTGATAGCTGGGCGTGAGTGTACACTCCTGTAATCCTTAGGAGGATCTCTTGAGCCCAAGAGTTCGAGACCAGCCTGAGCAACATAGCGAGACCCCATTTCTACCAAAAAAAACAAAACCAAACCCTCGGCCAGGTGTGGTAATATGCACCTAAAGTCCTACCTACTTAAGAGGCTGAGATGGGAGGACTGCTAAAACCAAGGAGTTCAGGGTCATGGCAGACTATGATCACGCCACTGTACTCCAGCTGGGGGAGTGTGCAAGACCCTGTCTCCTAAAAAAATAAAAAAAGGAATTCTGACTTTAAAAAAAGAAAAAATGTGGTTGGGGCCAGATGTGGTGGCTCATGCCCCTAATCCTAGCTCTCTGGGAGGCCAAGGAGGAGGACTGCTTAAGATTAGGTGTTCAAGACCAGCCTGACCAAGAGCAAGACCCCATCTCTACTAAAAGTAGAAAAATTAGTCAGGTGAGGTGGTGTACCTACAGTCCCAGCTACTCAGGAGGCTGACGCAGGATCTCTTGAGCCCAGGAGTTTGAGATTGCAGTGAGCTGTGATGAACCCACTGCACTCTAGCTGGGGCAAGACTCTGTCTCAAAAACAAAAGCAGAAGCAAACCGTGGTAGGGAACACTGTGAGTGGCAAAGCGGTGTATCCAAGTGTCCAGGAAACCGCTATGCCCACAAGATAATGTATATGCAATGAAAAGAATGCAATGGCCGGGCGGGTGGCTCACGCCTGTAATCCTAGCTCTCTGGGAGGCCGAGGTGGGCGGATTGTTTGAGCTCAGGAGTTCGAGACCAGCCTGAGCAAGAGTGAGACCCCGTCTCTACTAAAAATGGAAAGAAATTAATCGGACAACTAAAAATATATAGAAAAAATTAGCCGGGCATGGTGGTGCATGCCTGTAGTCCCAGCTACTCGGGAGGCTGAGGCAGGAGGACTGCTTGAGCCCAGGAGTTTGAGGTTGCTGTGAGCTAGGCTGACGCCACGGCACTCACTCTAGCCCGGGCAAGAGTGAGACTCTGTCTCAAAAAAAGAAAAAAAAGAATGCAATATCTTTTTCTATCAGGATATTTATACTTCTATCTGATACCCTACCCCCTTGTGACTACACAGCACAGGTAAAGAGATCTGTAACCAAAATGGGTGTGAAGTCCCATAAAAACACATAGCAATGATCATTTGTTTTCTTGTCATTTACTCTCCTGACTCATCTTTGAACACACCTTAAAATGACTGATGCTGTACTACAAGTGGCAAGACACATCATTTTCCCATTGAACAGTCTCAGCGGCTGTGCTAAATGCTGGACATGGAAAGGTAAGATGAATGAGGTCCTTGCACTCAGTGACACTATATTCTTACAAAAAAACAAAAGAACAGAGAAGGGAAGGAGAATGTGTGGCAAGGAGGGCTGGGGCTAGCATGTGAAGAGATTCCAGGCAGTGGGTATGGCCTGCACGAAGACCTGACAAGAAAAAAAGCTTGATGTGTTTGAGGAAACGAAAGACCATTTTGTCTGAAAAATAGCAAGTGGGAGAGTGAATAACAAACATTAAGGAATTGGGCCCTGGCCTTGAAAGGCCGAGCTGACCGTGTATGTTCTGTTTCGAAGCTCCTGAATTGGGATGTGCACCGCTGCAGTTAGCCCCGGGCCCTAGCACTCCAGACTGGCCTCTGCCCTGCTGGCACGACCCTGGGTTTTCCATTTCCTGAAGGCATCAGGAACCCCCTGCATGCAAGGCTCTGCAGGCCACAGTAAGGAGTTCTTTTATACTGAAGGGTTTTAAGATGAGAAGTAATATGATCTGATATGTTTTGAGTTCACTTTTGCTGCTGTGTAGAAAACGGACTGGAGCTGAGGGAGGCAACCAGGAAGCAGGGAGACAGATCTATGGGCTCCAGGCCGGACACGGGGGCTCACGCCTGTAATCCTAGCACACTGGGAAGCCGAGGCGGGAGGACTGCTTGAGCTCAGGAGCT